GGAACATGAGAGGGAGAGCAAGAGAAGCCTTTAAGAACTGTAGTATTCTAATGAGTCATTTACTGGAAAAGTAGGTCCGATGGCATTTATGCAAGGAGGGATTAGAAACATGGTTTTACAGTGTGTCATTTACTTTTATTTTATAATAATCCTCAAAATAATGTATCATCCTCTCAGACAACTGTTTTAAAACTCCTACTCTGGTTAAGCAGTGCACACTTAGAGAAATATTTCTATTAGCTGATTAACTATACACTGCATGCCCATGTTTAAGCCTATTTTTCTTGTGCTTCTTTTGACCACTAAAAAGGAACTTTCTGTTACCTAAAATGAAAAGCCACACAGTTTCACAAGAACAACTCTGGAAACTCACAACATGGTAACTTCCTTAAACTGACTAATAAATAAACGCTATTCATAAAGAAAGATCTGCACCCTCTAGGAGTGAGGCAATTACTCTAAAGATGCCAGGAAAACACCTTGACTTAATGAAAAAGAAGTGGCTTACACAAAAGTCACTTGCAGGCAGCTTCTGAGTCACATTAAAGACCTGTGAAGGTTGGGTCCCCCTCTCTTGCTGTTGAGAACTTCCCACACGAAGGGCTTCACCCACAAATACAGCCCCACAGGGGTGCCAGTCTCTTTCTACATGGAATTAAAAGCCAAAGGAAAACAGCAATAATGAAAGAGCCTGCTCTTACAGAACTAAATCCTTCAGTTTGCCTGACTTGCCCCTCGTGCTGCACACTTTTGCAAATCCTGCACACATTATTGCTGTTGACCAGAAAAACCTTATCTCTCCACATTAGTGCTTCAAGCACTCTATGACAGCTAAACTGTAGAAGAATAAAAGCATTAATGGATTTGTCTGAATCTATTACCTCTTGCTTGTCTCTTAAGCTTTACTTGGCTGCCTCCAGTGGTTCTGCTCTGCCTCTCAGAGATATTGCAGGTTTATTGAAGGATTACTGTTTGTAATATATCTGTATAAGCAAGACTGTAGTCAAGTATTAAAGACCACTGAAAGCTTATTGATCTAGAGAACACTACAGTAATAACTCAGAGAATATCAAAATAACCACTGCTGTTTGCTTTTCCTTAACTCGGAATGGAGCAGCCAATACACTTACAGACCTTTAAGAAACTTTTTTTCTCCCCTGATGATTGGTCATTTTGCACAGAAGTTTTAACACTTTGAAGAAATCAGAAGGAAACATAGCTACAACTAGTCAAGGAAGACCCAACTTTCTACCTTGCAAAATGCCGTAACAGAGCCTGGCGAAGAGATTATTAATGCAATAATAATTTTAATTTTTTTTCTTTAATTAATAAAATGAAAATAAAGTGGTTATCTACTTCCATCCAGCATAATGTCAAAATCTTTCTTCCTTCTATTAATATTGTAAGACAGGATCACATTATGTAACAGTATCAACAAGGCTGAAGAGGCACTGCATAGATTATTCATTTAAGCAAAGTGCACATCTCTTAGGAAGACCTTGTGAATAATGACCTCCCACAAAAACTTAGAAAATTCACGGCCGATGAAAATTCACATTGCAACGGCCAACGTGCTGCTATTTGAAAAGGTCTTAGGATGGAAACGAAAGGAAAATCACAGCCATTAAACTCCTGAACATATCACACCAGCACTAGAGCATCTATGATGGACTGAGGACTACAAGGAAATGCTCAGCAGAAATCCAGCCATGGCACTCGTGCTAACAATAAACAAGCTGACAACGTCAATAAAGCTGCAACACATAGATTTTTGAAAGGTAGAAAAACATCTAAAGGACATTCTTCCTTTGAAAATTTTCCCTGTGTGGGTGGAAGATGGAAAGGGCATTCTGTACACACACGACATACGCTTCCACCTCTCTTTGCAGCTTATTACTTCACCTGCAGCAATATTTTTTTTCCAGGTTTTTTTTTGCCTCTTTTCCTACCTTCCGTCATGAACAGAATTTCTTTCAGTGACATTCTCTGTGCAGGCTCAGCAGAAGATATTCTTACTCTACACCACATGCACGCAACAGCACCTTGCAAGGTGTTTATTTCCTGATTCTTACAACATCTAATGCCAAAACGAGATGACTTTTCAGTGTACATTCAGTGGACAACTCTAGAAAAAGAAGAACCCTGCAACTATTAGAACGGTTGGGTAGCAGATGATACTCACAATGCAAGCCTGTGTTTCAGACAAGCCTTTGGCAGCCACCCACCTCACACTCGGAAATCAAACTTGAATACTAAAGCTCCATAACTTAGAGCACTGTAGCAGACCAAGGTAAAAACTGCTCTCAGAAGGATTATATATGCCTCACTCAGCTTTGATTTGTCAGTAATTACTGCCGTGAACTGAATTTCTTTACGTATTAGAAAAGCAACGCATGACTTCTGGATCAAAGAGGTGCTTTGTTCACTCCAATGCAAACACAAATTGTCTGTACCATTAGCATTAAAACAAGTTATGACCAGCACTGAAGTGTGACCCGATCTCTCATATGGTTTCAATGTCTTGGAAGAAAAGCTCAGTAGGTTCATAAATCTAATATATGTTTTTTTCATAATAAAAGCTAGAGCGGCAATAATTGCAATAAAGTTTTACAAGGTGTCCTGAGAGGAATAAAAAAAATAATAACTGCTCTCTGCACCACAGCTAAATAAAGCAAAGCCAGATTTTTTTGTTTAAAAGCCCATAAGGGATTCAAATTAACAGACTTTGTAAAGGATGCTAGCAAAAGACTTTTGAGGGACACCCTAATTACTGGTTGCTTTGATTTCAGTGACCTTGCTTATCTTATCTTTCTAAACAGACATTTGAAACAAGATGGTTTCAAACACCCCAACAGCGTGAAGACTGCTTCGGGTGCAAGATCTGCAAAGAGCAAACTTCTAAATATTAAACCAAGTTGTTTTAGCGTATTTTTTACATGTTAATTCTCACTAAGCTCAGTGCCCACAGGATTTCAGGGGCTGAGATGAAAGGCCAAGCCTTGCAGAGACAAGACAGAGGCGGTCGCGAGGTCTCTGTTGTCCTTAAAAAGCGTCCCTCTGTTTGCAGAATTTCCAAGAGCTGACATTGCCCTCCAAGGATTTCTGGTGCCTCTGAAGGCCTTATCTTAGATTATGCCTTCCAGATGCTGTGGGTACAGGTACAAGGCTCCCCAGCCTCACAGCGATGAAACAATCCCAGCAAGAAGTTGATGCTCAGCTGGAACACGCTACTTCTCCCCATGTCAGATCTGGCACAGGGAACTCTTTCAACACTCAGCAGAAACATATTGCTGTATACTTCACAAAGTGAAACAAAGCAGCTCAAGTGAAATGTTCCAAGATACGACAGGGTGAAGCCTGGAATGCTTAGTCAATGTAAATCAAAGCATAAATATTCATGTAGTCCTAAACCCACCACAGAAACCTCACCTCTCTAATTCGTCTAATTTCTACCCTTCTGTCCTTGTTGCCATCAAATTCCAAAGTTACAGTGTGTATAGAAAGCAACCAGAATAGTCATCTGACAATTGCTGTATGCTATCTGTCAAACACAAATGATTTTGGGGGCTGCTCTACCAGAACAGCCTTATCTTACACCCACCCAAAGGTATAAAAGGGCCTGAATTTTAAAGAAGCTTCAAGTCTTTTTCTTACTTTACAGCCACGGTTAATTTTAAAGCATTTCTGCACTCACGAATGATCCAGTACAAATCTTACTACTTTTAGCTTTTCTGCTGATGTCTGAACTGTAACCTCAGGCTAATATTCAGACATTTAAATCAAGGCCTGCAAACACTCACACACACAAATAAAAACACATTCTCCTTAAAAGAAAGAATACCCCGCAGAATCATGACTATTCTGAAAGTGGTCCATAGCTTCATTAGACTCATTTCACCCTGGTTCTCTTCTTCACCCATTCCTTCGCTGACTTGCCCTCATCCTCTCTACAGGTAGTTCTAAAGGGCTGTTCTTGTTCCTCTTCGGGCTCTCTTCTGGCAGTATCGTCCGCAAACAAGTCCAGCTACTGTCTGTCTGTTCACAGATCAAACACTCCCTTTACTCCCAGCCCCATCTTCTTTTGCTCAGGTTGAAACCCCTCAGCCTCTCTCAGACCTTCTCACCTCAATTTCAAAAAGATTAAAGCACACTTCTCCCTCCAGAACCACACTTCTCTACGATTACAGACTAGCCACTTGCTCTGATACCCAAGGCATCACAATTTTTTTAAGCATCTCTTCCTGGTTTTCTCATCTAAGTGGTTTAGAGGCCACATATACACTACAGGGGTGAAGGCAGTGCTGTGATAATTCTGGTTTTCATTTGGGTGGGAGAAACTTGAGCCATGTCTTGCCTCAAACTGAAGATCTGCGCACCTGCCCTTTCCAAACCTTTCACAGCTCACTCCATTCAATAGCAAAAACTCAGCTCCTGGCCCTGCCTAAGCTGTGGCGTGAACTCCAAAAAGTCCTTGCCTGTGCTTTTTTCCAGCGCTTCCCTTTTGTCACGAAGTAACAGCCCAGGCATCAGAGGTGCCCAAGGAGGCTTGAGCCACAGCAGTGCTCCTTGTCCCTGGCCAGCCTTTGAGTCAGACACGGTGCTACCTCTGGAGTGTAACTGCTCTCGTCTGTTTTTCTTTCCTCTATCCTGGAGATTGATACTGCTTATACAACACAAAGTAATTTGCTTGTCTTCTGTGTTTCAGAAACTAACATACAGATATTTAATCTACCCAGCAGATTTATAAAATTGCAGCCTCCCAAGATAACAAAGTCATTATCCTGACACTTCCCATTACTGTCATCCTACATATGCTACAATAAATAACTCCTCTAACATTTCTTCATTTGCATTAGAAATCCTCTTCATCCAATACTGCTTATTTGGCTTGCAGTTTAAAATGGAGACTGTTCTTTCCCTGCACATCCCTACACCAGAAGGGAGACAAAGTTTTGTTTTCTGTTAGTAAAACTATTCAAGAAGTAGGAACGACTTCTGACCTTTAGCCTGCGGTCCTGGTCTCCACTGCACAGAGAATTCACAGACACTTTAAAGGTCTTCCAGGCTGGATTTAAGTTATTCATCACAACCTGTGAGGGAAAAGAAAGGAAGGGAAGCCTTAGCATTTGCACGTCTCCAAACAGAATGCCAACAAGAGCCACAATTTTGAATACAGTACATTCACCAGAAAGAGAAGAAAGCAGAGCTCAGCTGGATGCCTGCAGAACCCCGCACGAGGGATATCTGCCCTCGACCCACCTGTGGTTTGCAGGCCTCCTCCTCTGGAAAGCTCCAGGAAGGAGCACAGGTGGGAAACAGGCTCCTCACCCACCACAGAATACATGCTTGTTTAATTAAATTTGGATCTTTGGCTTCAGTACCAGCTTCCCTTACCCTCATATGCGTAAGTCAGGACCTGATACGCATTAGTAACTGCATTGCAGGTGCTTGCAGTGCCCTTTGTGAGATGTAAGCACAAACTATTCCTCCTGACAGCCCACCTGTATCCTTGGCAAGTAAACCCAGCCCTAACTCCTTACCTCAGTCCTGTGAACGAGTTGTTGGGTTGCATCATCATTCATCCGGAAGATCTCTAGAAAAGGATCTGATTTGCTGAAAAAGTCCTGAAATAAAATACAGGACAGGTTACTCCTGAGATTTTTCTTTGACTTTTCAGGTACAGTGCACCAGTACTGCTTTAGGTCCTACATCCACCCAGCTTGTTTCTTTCTGACTCCAGGCCTGTCTGGTCTTTTGACATTACTTTTATCACACAAGGCCTTTGAAGCATATTATAAAGTGAGGTTGAACTGTGAGACCTCCATAGCTGGAGGAGGAAGGCAGCTAATTGCTACTTCCCATTTCTGACCCTGCCATGCTGCAAGAGCAAGAGTCAAATGGACTTGGGCCTTTTTATGCAGTTCCCACCCTGTTCTTCATTTTCTACTTAAAAAGAGCCACATGATTAACTTTATGCAAATGAATATTACTCTTTGCTATAGGCATGTCCAAGACCATGGAGCTCCATATCCGTTCAGGGAAGTGAGGAATTCTGTTTGCTCTCCCCGAGTTTCTATAAAAGCACTAGCGGGAAAATGACTGCAGTATGCTAAGTTCTACAGTTTTCTCCTCACCGAATGCCCACCATACTTATTTTTGACTAGCTGGATAGCTGTTGGGATGGGAAGAGCTTTGGATAAGGTGCTAGCCGAAGCCAGGAAACGTAATTTTGGACAAATTTTTCTTCAGGGCATGCTTACAATTCCGTAACTGCAAAACAAACAAATAAATTAGGGCTTTGAATCGCGATAGCTGAATCTGAATGTCTGGAGAAGGAAGCGAGTCCCTAGGGACCACAAAACCTTGGGCAAGGTTTGAGCAACCTGAAGTCTTTTCCATGCGCTAAAGGTGACACTATTGATGTAGTGCTCAGAGTGCTCCATGACTGATATGGCTCTTTTACTACTAGAAAAAAAAAACAAAAACAAACCCCAAATGCTTCATTTAGAGCCTGATTCAAGGCACATGTATATGTGTTTGTTAAATTTTGTCATGTGGAGCTCTGAACAGCACAGATGTGTTTGCCTGTTTATCCTAATGATATGGTTACAGGACATTTTTGTCAGAGTGTGTAGAACCAGCAGAAAACCCCACAAAGTCTGTAATGCTAGAGGGCGCTATCTTAGTCACAGTGACACCAAATCCAGCGTGCACAGGGTTAAAAAAGATTGAGCTGCCTCTTCTCATACATCAGTGTACCAGCTGGAGCAGAGTGCAAGCTTTACATTGACAGATTCTTTATCAAACACGAATTTTTCCACCCTCTGCTTGCCCTCCAGCCTCCCACCCGCAAGTGTGATAAGTAAAGTTTTATCTGAAAGAAAACACCTCAAAATGAGACACCCAAAGCACGTGCCCTGCAGTGCAGGCTAATTCAGAGGGGAAATCTGGAATTTGTGTAAGACTCGCAACACAGTGGAGTTCCCACCTGAGTGCCATGAAAGCTGAGGCAGCAAAGCAGCTCAAGGTGCCTCAAGCTTAATATCGAAGATGCTTCGTAACAACTCAAAACTGGCAAGCTGAAGAAACATTTGATGTCACAGCTATTAACGTTTTCAAGGGTTTCCAGTTATGGTGAATCTAACAGCTTTGAATTAGCCCACAGGAATAACCCTTGAAAGAAGAATAACAGCTATAAGGTTTAGTGTTTTGATATTTTAGCAATGTGTAAACGATTAATGCCTTTGCTGGTGGTATAATGCACATTGTTCTTTCAGTATGTGCAGCAGTTATACAGTAATAACACACATACATGGCTTAAACTTTAAAAATTTACCTACCTTTGTTTCTGAGCACCTACCCCGACACATCTTTAGTACATTACTTTTCAGAGCATGATACTTGAAAATTCAGGTTTGGTGGTCAAGTCAAAGGTCCCTCCGAAAAGGGCTGAAGTAGCCAAAAGACACTAATAATTCTGAATACTCTTTGGCACCAAGACTGGGTGTTTAAGGAGTTTTTTGGGTAGTAGTTTAGTACCAGGAAAATACCTAAAAAAAGCAATATAGCTATTTTGCAGCCACTTGCTGGAGAATCTTTCTCAAGTAATGATAACTGCCTCTCACAGAACAGGAAAAGCCGTTTGACTGCCTTGGTGCTTGTAATTTATTATTGCTATCATAAAACAGTAGCTGCTTTTTATGGTAATGGTGACACGGCTATTAATGCGATAGAACCTTTCCAAAATTTATTGTTCCACTGTGAAGTGTTCTCAGTGGATCTCTTGGAACAACGATATGCCATCTGAGCTCACTGGGCTTCAATAAAACATGAAAATCCAGTTATGCCTTCCAAACATGCACTGCAATTAAAAAACCCAAAACCTTTATCTCTGCAAAGTCAGTTAACTAGAGGAAACTTTCATATCTCTGACTTTCCTATAATTTTTCTTTCTCTGAATGTTTCAGCCAGCCCTGCAGGAAAAGTTGAGCAGGCTTCATCTGTTTTGTGGCTTCTCTAAATCTCTTGCAGCTTTATGTGGAAGGAGAAAAAAAACAAAACAAACAAAAACCAGCAAACATCTCCTGCCCATTAAATTACACCACCAAATTTGGTTTAAGCTGCTAAAAATGTTCACTTCTCTTATCTTAGTGGAGGAAACTCATACATTTAAGGACCACGATCTGGATCCTCTTTCAAGGAGTTTAAAGGGTAGAGGAAGAAAATTCTTGTCCATTCGAAACACCCCTGATGCAATAATTCAGAATGATCCTCCATAGCTTGCTCCTGTAAAGTGCTTCAATCACTCTGAAAGTCCCCATTTTTTGACACCTAAATAAATTACATGGTTCAGAAACACTCCAGCAACTCTGAAGGAAAAGGTGATGCATCTGTCAGATGAGAAGCAAACTCAGGGCCTGATCACTTATGATTGTTAATGATCCCAAGCACAGTGATGTTATTTAACTGTATGTTCTAGATAAATTCCAGCACTATTAATCTTTCTATGTATTTTCTGCTTGCCTGAGTTCTTCTGGCAGTTTCAACCAAAAAGTATTATTCATCAGTTATGAATTGTTTTTGCAAATCTGACTCATGTCTCCCAAAGTACTCACACTGATCTGGTTTTAAGCTACTCATATGTCAAATGTTCACAAGAACACGCTTGGAGCATCAGAATTGCAAACTCAGGCATTGTGTTACTGTATATTTCTAACTAGAAACACCTTCATATATAAGAAGAGACTAAATATTAAAGGTAGATATTCTGATCCAGTACAACTGTAATTATATAAAGCGTTATTATCTTAAAAGGATCATAGTCTTATGACATCTATTAATTACAAAGATATTTCCCAGATGACATCAAATAATTATGTCTGCTATTACACTGAAACAACAGTGTGCCTTACAAGCAGCCATCTGGATTTCTTGGTCTGCATGTTGCTTTAGGTGCTTATTATATATATATATTTTTTTTTTTTATATATATATATGTGTGTGTGTGTATATA